ATACTTTTAAAAACAAGAATAAAAGTGAAAGAAAAAAAAATAAAGACAATCCCTCTAGTGTTTGAATTGAAATAAATTACTTGTTTGCTGAGTGTATCCTGCTTTTGTGTAGCATGGATGTGCAGCCAGAAATACGATGTTTGTGAAACCCTCAGAAGTGGGCAGAGAAGTAGTTCCACTGTTAATTCTGTAGAGCTCTGACCACACACATGCATGCAGAGCACATGCTCCATGTGGGGATGAGAAGAGATAGAGATGACTTCCTGTCATCCTATTTGTTCCATTTTTATTCTTTGTTTCTCGCATGCTGTAAACTGTGGTAAATGTTTCACACTATTTAGCATAATGCTGACAGCCCTTTTAGAATGAAGCATGAGGAATTTTAATCCTAAGGAGTTGTCTCTGGGTCAAAGCCTGGGACTTTTTATTATAGCCTCCAATTGGAATATAGAAAATTTTATTTTGCACTTGGGATCAATGATACCAGATTTAATTCAACTCTTTTTAATTCTTCATCTGCTCCTGCAAGCTATGTTGCAAAATTATTTGTGTAGATAGAATTGTAGCTTTCATAGATTTAAAAAAGAGATGATGCAATGAAAAATTTTTAGTGTAGAAATGTCTGTTTGAAAGTAAGGTAAAATGTATTAGATTGTAAAATACCATTTAAATTGTAAAATCTCTATGGAGGAACTCCATATTATACTGCAGTGTTCCTAGTATTTTGCTTTATAAATAGTAGATGCTCAATATACTTTGTTCATTTAAACTTATTTAATAATCCGTTTTAAAGAACAACAGTAGCTTGATATTGTGAATTCAATGGGATTTGTTAATATATATCACACTTAGTGATTTTTCACCAAATAACATAACTTTACAGCTGATAGTCAGTGAATACACAATAGGTAATACCCTATAAGACATTTCAAACTTATAAATGCAACCTAGATCTCACAGGAATATGGTTATCTTGTTCTGAATGTGGTATATATGAGCTATTTAAACTCTAAGATTTAAAAGCATATTTGTATATACATCATTAATAACTACATGAAAATCAACAGGTAAAGTAGGGAAAATAGGAGAAATAAAACTCCAACTAAAAAAGGTGTGTTGCATGTTGCAAACAAACTCTATCATCATGCAAATGTCTGGAGAAAAGGATAATATTTATTTTGTAGAGTTTTTAAAATAGTTACTTAACAAATTTTCTTTCTTATATTTGGCCTTCATATCCCCACATGGTTCCTCTTTCTCTATATATTTCTGTGAGTTAAAATTGTGAGATTTAAAATGGTTAAACATTTGAAAAGATTGAGAGTATCAATTCTAGTCCAACCTTCCAGATTACCGTTTTTGGTTTTTGTTCTGTTTTGTTTTTGAGATATTCTAAAACTACGAAAATTGTAAAAACAGATAATAATGTAAATAATTCCTTTCATAGAAATACAAATCCTTTAAATACAGTGAAATACAATTGATTATTGCCCTTGGATAGAGCTCTTTTTCATCTGCTGTGAATTCATTTCAGCATTTCTTATCTGTATGTGTGGCATTTTTAATTCTTCTTTGAATGATAGCAACAACATATTACTGGTTTCCTCATTAATGAATAGATTAAACAAAATCCTTGCTATGTTCATTTTGCATTTATGTGAATCACAATTGTGCCCTTTTAAAAAATTTTAAATAGTTTTTTCCCTCTTTTTCTTTCTGCTATTTACTACAAAACTACACAATGGAATATAATCGAGAAAGGAGACAAATCCCTGTACATTTTCCTCTGTCTGGGCATTCTTTTCTTTCATTTTAAGAAGGAATTTTCATACATTGTAGAGAGATAGTTATTGATTTTAAGAAGTATTCCACTGATTGCTGCAAAGAATTGTTAGATTATTTAGCACTCCAGTAAACATGAGTGAAAATCAACTTTAACTCATAACTTTAATATGTTTGTACAATCAAAAAATAGTGATTGATACACATTTAATAGGCATAACATGAGTTGTTATAATTGATCAGAATATCTTGGGTATGTTTTACAAATAAAAGAAATGTCCGATTTTATTATCAGATTAAAATCAAGAGAAAATTAAAATAAGTTCACATTATTTTGAAAAAATTATTAAGCAATAAATACAGTACTACAGCTACCACTAATTCTATGTACAAACACTAAATTCTAGAATGACTATTTTATGAATAAATTTACTGGAAAATAACTTTAGAAAATAAAATATGATAGGTTAGAATTTTTAAAAAATTAAAATGTAACTTTCACAAGTACTTGAAGAAAAATAGTACATCTATATTTTAAAAGTTAGAAATTCCCCAAATTAGCTTTTAGATACAAAAGAAGTTTGCTTTTAAAAATGTTGATTTTACCTTTTCTTCATGGGTAAGATATAAAAGAGATCTTAATTAGCACTTCAGCTTTAGAGAAGTCTAATATTTAAAACTATTACCTCTAAAAAAAGATAGGTACAAAACTCACACTGACTAATCAAGGACTGCCTACTCTTGAAGACTATACAATAGATAAATCCTGGCCATTAAAAAAAAAAAATCTGATCTAAAAGCACAGTAAAAAAAAAAAAATACTCGAAAATTGCAGTATATTTTAATATAATGCTAATTGATATTTTGACATTTTCTGCTGTCCTTATGGCTGAGATTTGACAATTTGTGTGGAAGAATTGTGACATATGTAAATAGTATCAGCAAAGGATTTGAATCTGTGTCTTTGAGTAATAAATAGCTAAAAAGTGAGTTTATTTAAAGAAATTTTTTAGATATATTTAGGTAGTAGAAAGTCCAGAACAGTCTATGTTCCTTTTTGTAAAAGCTTGCTGTGTTTGCTATGAAATCTACAAATTTGATAAAACCTTTACATGTATATAGGAAACTTGTAAATTATAAACGTATTTGTCAAGCCATTTAATATGTTAATTCTTACTAAGTTAGATAATTTTCCTGGACAATTTCAAATGACTTCTGAACTCACTGTCTCTTGATGGCTTAAGAAACAGACTATCCCAAGTGAATAGTTTAATTCATTTTACATAGATTGACACAATGTACAAGTATGTATACATAGTGACTTTGCCTCCCAAAATTGACTTTTACTAATTGATAGCATTTTTGTTTTTCAGATATTTCACTGGAAAATTACATTAGGGAAACTAATCCCATTAAAATGTCACTTTAATTTATTATCAAGGCTTTCTTTCATCTTAATTTAATTATTCCATAAACATTCTGACAATTCTTCCTCAATGCTATATTCAAATCCTTCACTGATTTGTATTATCATATATAGTAACTCTATTAAAATATAAAAACACTGTATATGACATATATTGTGTTCATATAGTTTTTTTCTTTTTAATAGCCTAGAACATTTCCAAAGTCATTTTTTCATATAATAGAAGTCAGAAAGTTAATATTTTTAATGGGATAAAAACCATAAGAGTAGTAGATTGATATTTATTACAGTAGGAATCACTTAAATTTTCTGGATTAGAATGCAGGTCCATCGTCAAAATAAAAAGAGAACTATGTCAAATATACCTATTTTTAAGGTATGAAACACCAAAGCTAATATGTTCAATAAAACAGTGGCTTTGAGTTTGTTTTTAATAAATATTATATATCTTAACATGGATATTTCTGTTAGTTCTTAAACTTCTGATGCTGGCATCTGATTGTCTTTAAAATATTTACCAAATATAGAATTCTAGACTCTATTTTATTATAAAATCAGCCCAGACACAGTATCAGATATTAACATGCATACATTGTCACATTATGTATTTGTTTTTAAAAATCTTACCTAGATTGTATGTATTTGACTTGAGGCTATGAAGTAGAAAAACAGAGGATTTACAAGCTCATATCACAACAATTTTTTTTTTTTTTTTTTTACAAACTGCTAAGGCAATAAGAAACCTTTTGTTTATTTTCTTCATGTAAAATTCTTGCTAAATTGTCTACACAGTAGAAATGGAAGAGGCAAAGTTTCTATTTACAGATACAGGGACATGGTTTCCCTCCCACATGTGTAGTAAGATAGGAAAGTAGCTGATAAGGTGTTTTGTAGTATCAACCAAGATGTCTCCCTAATAATACCAGCTAAGGCAATAAGAAACCTTTTGTTTATTTTCTTCATGTAAAATTCTTGCTAAATTGTCTACACAGTAGAAATGGAAGAGGCAAAGTTTCTATTTACAGATACAGGGACATGGTTTCCCTCCCACATGTGTAGTAAGATAGGAAAGTAGCTGATAAGGTGTTTTGTAGTATCAACCAAGATGTCTCCCTAATAATACCAAAGTAGGATTACATGTCATACATAATGATTTATCAAGTCTCAAAAACCGATATGACACAGGGTATAACTGTGATGTTATCAGCAAATGAGTAACCAGCAGCAATTCTGTTCATTTGCCTTTCTTGGGAAGAAGAGGGTTAGGCAACAGGAATAATGAACTCTTTATCTGTTCCATTTGAAAAGTGGATATGAGATAAAGATTTAAAAAAAAAAATATATTAAGCTAATTTTCCCTCCAAATCTATAGGCCTTAGCTAGGTCTTTAGGCAAGAAGAATATATTCATGCCCAATTGTATATGAACTCTTACAGTCTCATTGATTTGTGAATCCCTACAGTGATGTGCTAGAATTGGCCTACAGCAGCCATAGAGTTGATTGTGGTCATCTTTCTCTAATTTCACAGTGATGTCAAGTTGGTAGCTTGAAATCAGCCATGGTAGGACTATTCATACTGTAAAAACTGGCCAACATTACAAATTAGCGCCTTCCCCTCCTCCCCCCATAGAGCTCATGGTTAAATATTTATCAACATACTACTGAATTCATGTGAGGGCTTTCTTTGTGGCAATCAAGAAATTCATTTAATATTGAAGCCTTCTGGTTATAAAGCCATGGATCCAAAGACTTGAGTTAAGAGTGGCACAAAATAGTTAAGCAATACTGCCTCTATTGTATAATGTAATCATGTGACTTTTCTGGTTTTAAGACAATATTTTCAGTGTCATGGATGCTTTTTCCATTTAACTGTTCACTTGAATAGTCATGACTGTAACCTGTACCATCACTGATTGTTGACACTGTGTAAGATGCACTACGAAGAGCATCTGTGTGGGAAAAGCTGTTTCCAAATTGGATTTTATATTGATTCCAGTTTCTTCTCAGAATTGCTTGAACCTATGATAATCAAAAGAAACAGAAAGGACAAAAGCAATCCATTATTTGAAATGAAGATATTGTATTTAATAGTACAATAAAATAAGTTATGTAGAAAAGCTTTTTTAAAATAGCATTAATGTTAATCAGTGAATAATATTTTTCTTTTTCTACTTAATTTTAGAAAGTTAAATTGAGTGGACCATCTTTATATTAGGAAATTCATTAAATTACTCTGTACTTTTAGATTCCATTAATATTTTCCTTTCCATGCCTTATTGTCAAAGCTTTAATAAAGCATACAAATACGTTGTTGTAAAACAGTTAATGCAGACCCCACCACTGGCAACGAGAAAGAAGATAAGGCACACGTATAAGAAAATGGACGACTGTATATATAGAACTATCCTTTACATATTCGTAATGGTAACCACACGTCAAAGATTCAGAACCAAAGTATATAACATAAAACAAGGACCAGAGGAAAAACTCACAAAAGCCAACCAAAATAAATAAAACAAAAACACAAGGACAAGGAAGCAATAGAAACACTGAGCTACCAGAAAGCAAAAGATAAAATGGCTGTAAGAAGACTTTATATTTCAATAATCACCTTAAATGTAAATTGACTGAACTCACCAATAAAAAGGCACAGAGTTGCAGATTGGATC